CCTAATTTCCTGCAATCCACTCTGCTGCTGTGGAACAGGAGCAACTATCTCTGTCCCCTGTAACTCAGCCTGCCGCTGGGGAATGGAGCCTGGGCTCCCAATTCCCTGCAATTTACTCTGCCGCTGGGGATCTGAGCCGACCGCCCAGCATCCCTGTCACTGGGGAGGGAGGACGCTGCTCTCCTCTCCTTGCAAGGTACACTGCCGCTGGGGAACAGGACCAACTGTCTCTGCCCCCTGTAACTCAGCCTGCCGCTGGTGAATGGAGCCTGGGCTCCCAATTCCTTGCAGGACCAGTGGAGAGACCTCGGTCCCATCTCCACCAACCACTTCCCAGTAACACTCCGCAATATCTTCACAGCTGAAAGGGTCTGGATCTGGGTCCCCGCTTCCCTGCTGAGCCTTCTCACTGAGGTGGAACAGATTTTGGTAGCCCTGCTCCAGCTCCATCTCTTGGGTCACTAGGTGGACCAGGTCTTGCTCAATCTCATGAGTGTCGTCCCAGTAATACCTGCTCTCCCTCCACTCCAGGAGATCATAGAACCGGGCTTGTGTAGGGCTCCCAAACTCAGGCTCTGAAAAAGACTCCCATAACAAGCCAGGACCATCAAACTCCTCTGCCTTTTGTTTGTCATGCTCGGCTGTCCAGGGCAGGTATTGTGCCCCATACCACCAGAGCGCCTGGTAGGCATCTTCCAGCCACATTTGCTGCCATCCCCGGAGCTCCAATTTCTTCACCCATTCCTCCAGGGGCTGCTCTCCCAGGAAGGCCTCCGCAGGGCTAGTCGCTTCTGCAATCGCTGGTCTTCCTTGGGGAGTCTCTCGCCCCGCTTGTACTCCACAATACCCAGTGCCTGGTACCAGATGTCTTTGCAAACTGCATCTCGGTCATCCATGACACCCTCATCGTACTCCACTGCTGGTTCCATCCTAGTGCTCTCAGGGTCGCTGTACTGGGACATGCGTTGCCCTCAAATTGTAAAATCCGAAGAAATGGTGTCTCCTGTAGCTGACCTTCTGGCTGTAGGAACGATCCCACCGCTGCCACCAATTGTAACAGACTGTTTTGCACACAAGAGGTTAAAAACCGTTTAGGCGATATTTACCTTTTCAGATGCACAGGCACAGCTACTGCAGAACACCAAACTCCCGAACCGCATATAAGGGAATGCTCCAAACTCCTGAACTGCATACCAAATAGCACTCCAAACCCCAGAACTGGAACCTCACGAATAGCTGCTAGCAGACGAATAGGAAAAGCATCCAAACTCCTAGCAATCAGTCTCTAACAGCATACAGTAAATCCCCCCAAGAATGAGACAGAGCTCCGTGTTGAGGGTCAAGCAGTGGTATGTTTTAATGAGGGCTACCTGCCCAGTATTTATGCAGGTCTCCCATCTGGTGGACACTCCCCTAAGGGACCAGATGGGAAACTGGGTCACAAATGGTACAATGACCAATCACAGGCAGACAGGG